ATATATATCAAAAATATAAATTACCTTAGCTTGACTGATTGCTATCCAGTATTGCACAAACAGATGATGAGAGGTAAACAGTACTCAGTACTTTAATAGTGAGCAAATGCAAAACTTGTGGCACATTTACATTTATGCATTTGGCAAACATGTTTATACAGCAATTTACAGTGCATTCATGCTAAACATCTGATCTATTCACACCCAGGGAATCAAACCCATGACCCTGACACTGCAGCACCAGATGAGCTACAGAAAAAGGCATTAATCAAGCATTTATATACACATTCAATTCAGATGTCATTACAGTTCAGTTCACAAATGGGTCATTTTTCCTCGATCTCACCCGTCTGATCAAACCTCTTGCTTGATGGTGATCAAGGGCTGCGTTGAAACAAAGACAAATAAAAGAGATTTCAGTGCGTTTGAACATTGTTCAGCATGTTTTGTTGTTTTCAAACTGAATGTTAATTACCAGAGTGTTGAAGTGAGATCGGCACACGGCTTTACTCTCCCAATAGATCAGAATCAGAGCCAGAATCAACTCCAACCCACACAACACACCGATCACCACCTTCAGCCCCACAAGCATGTTTCTCTGGAGAAAAACATGTCAATCAATAACAATATTGACAATGACAACATCAGTTCAGAAGTGCAGTGTGTCCAAATGCCTGTTTGCTATAACGTACCCTTGTGTTGTATTCTGTGCTGTTATACTGTAAAATCAAATAAATGAATGAGATGTATGGACATTGCTGCAACTCTGGCTTCAATAAGTTATGAAGTTATGAACAATCACAAATTACCCAATCCCAACTTCCTTCATTTAATAATGCACAGAGAACTATAGCTGCGATTGACCAGAAAAGGCTGATAATGTTGAATATGAAGGACAGCTTTACCTTTCAGAAAAAGAACAAGAAGATAAATAATTAAATTCAGTTTCGGTCATGATTTAAAAAAAAAAAAAAAAAGATTATGAACAATATTTGGTCACTCACCACAGGCATGAATGGAGAACTTCCAGCTGCAAATGTCAGAATGCCACTTGCAATGAACTGAAAATAAATGGTTAAAACACAGATATAGTATCATCTTGAATGTTCAGAGACTGTCTGAGAGATGTGTGTGTGTGTGTTTACACGTATAAATGCAGACAGGATCTCTGTGTTCTCACCAGGGCACTAGGTAGGGTGTACACTAGATGGGACAGACCGTATTCAAGAGTAATGAGGCTGCCGATGCAAATGACAAACACTCCGATGCTGAGCTGAGCCGCCTGAAACGACATAACAGCTATATAAATAATAACAAAACTGTCTGAGATCACGATATGTGTTCCATGAGAAACCTGGATAAATTGTTCCATATGGCAAAAATATGTATTTTTAATGGCCAAAAAATGGCCAAAAATGTTTTTTCTAATATGTTCCAAAATATATTTATGTAAATGTATTTTCTACTAATATCATTTTGGTCACTTTTTGTATATTTTTAAATATATATTTAAAAAATATGAATATACATATATATATATATATATATATACAGTATATATTTTTTATTTTTATTTTTTTTATTTTTTTTAAGCATGCATATGCCCTCCATATATTTAAATTCAAGAAAATACATTCATTCCGTCACATTTGAAGAAAAAAAAGTAATACATTATGAAATATATTTTGGGTATATGAAGGTTGAAACTAAATATATTTTATTAAGCTTCTCATGACACATATTACGCATATTTTTTTAAATAGATTTTAAAACAGATTTTGGCAAGGAAAAAATTGAGGTAAAACTAAAATATTTCTGATTCTGCATTATTTCTAGGTGACTAATGAAATGTAAATAAATGAACTTCATTGTGACTCTGTACAGACGCTCAAGTTGATTATTAGATCACCTCAAATCATACACTCTCAGAAAAAAAGGTACAAAGCAGTCAGTGGGGTGGTAAAGCATAGGTCTTTGTATCTTATTTACCCCTAAATGCTACATACCTTAAGAATACATACAAATTATTTTAAAAGTATTTAAGAAGTATATTAATACGTGTTATTAGCTTATGAAAGGGTACCACTAGTGTACCAGTGTTTTGTACCTTTTTGTCTGAGAGTGTAGAACCGAATCATCAGGTTTAGTTCATGCAGCTCCAGAAAAACAGACACACACTAAATACTGAGCGCTTCTCATGATTTTAAATTCAACTTTTTACTCCAGTCATTCTAATAATAACGTGCAATGAAAAAAATCCTTCAACTGAAACGGAAGCATTTTCACATCTGCTCTCAGACTTTCGGCCCTCATTGAGTTTATATAACAGAGTCAGTAGCATGCATATATTTGATGGAAATCTATCATTTAAAATGATAACAGAAATGCTCATGTGATGGAATCAGGGTCACAAATCCACCAGCATTCAGGCCAGAAATACCACTGAAACTGACTAATGCCCCAGATTAAAATCCCCCGTACTGAATTGATGTGTTTCTACAGACACTTTTCTGTCTGCAGACATTAAACTGAAACTCTAAAAAACACATGGATAGTTTTATGCATTTAAATGCTGCACGCACCCCGAGTTCCTTTGGCCGTCCTTTAAGAAAGACCTTGTAAGTGTCTTTGAAGACGCAGGTGAATTTCTCGGGCATCAGCTGGCCGTCTCTCATGTTCCTGAGGTTTCCCAGAGGAATGCTGATGACCATACAGTCATCCGGCTTAAACGTGTAGCGCATCTCTCCACCAGACGCTGTCTGTCAAACAACAGACATGTGAGAACGTTCCGGCAAGCTTCTCTCAACGCCATGAACAGAATGTTCATTCCAAGTGATCTGGTCTTTAATAGCGTTCTCAACATTAGCACAAGAACGCTATAATTATACATCATTCATGGAAGGATTTTTATTTGTATACTCATCCGTTTTTTAAATGTTACTTAAACGCTGCTACATTTGAAAAAAGTTATCACTTACTACTTGTTTTCCTATAGGCCTAGTTGTTCCCAAAATGCTGTCTGTAATTGAAAAGAAAAGAAAAGTCAAAGTTATGAACAAACATTCTTCCAGTAATGTTAACAGAACGTTTATTACAAGTTATGGTCTCAAAACATGTATACATCCTTCAGCAAATGTTTTTTCTTACATGTTTTTTAAACGTTACTATTTACTACTTTTATTGGTAATGAGATGTTGCCTGTAATTGAAAGAGAAGAGAATCTTAAGAGCTTTGCTCAAGTCAAAGTTATAAACAAATGTTCTTCCAGTAACGTTAACAAATCGTTCATTCCAAGTTATCTGGCCTTTAATAACGTTCTCAAAATGTTAACATAAAAATTTTATTTATATATCATCCATGGAACTTTTTTTAAATCAAATGTTACTTAAATGTTGCTACTTTTTAAAATGTAACTTTAACGTCATTCAAATGTTACTATTTACTTGTTTCAGGATGTTCAGAGAACATTCAAAAGTAGCGTTCCCATAACGTTTGCAAAATTCTAAAATGTAACATTTCCTTTAACAATAATCCTGTTTTCACTAACGTTCGCAGAAACAAGAAAAACGTTTAAAAAACTGCACTTTTGGAATGTTCAGAAAGGATTCAGAAATAATGGGAATGTTTTTAAAACACTCTCTCTCTCTCTAATTACTTTACCAATATTCTGCAGTTCAAATGTTTGTTTGAGTAAAAAACATCATTAAAGAGGTTAAATGTTATAAATGAGTCCGAGCAGATGCTTCTCGTCTTTTAACACTGTGCCAATCGACTCCACACATAATTTTAGTCATAAATGTACTAATATGTTGGAATTTTATTCAACAAAGTATGAAAAGTGAGTCAACCCACCCCAATCCCACCCACACTTTACAGAATGCCCAGAGAGAGAGTGTTTTATCTGTGTGTACAGGAAGTCTGGGGTAAATCCAGCAACTTATAATACAGTAAATAAACAGAGATTGAGTTATCTGACAGATCTAATGACACACACACAGATCCTGAGATCTCGATCAATCTCTGAATCTCACTCTGTTCTTCTATAAGCGTGAGGTTCTGTTGTTTTCATCGAGTCTTTTAGTGTTAAAATGTCTTACCAGCTGGAGAGTGAGCTGAAGTCCAGATGAAGAGCTTCTGCAGGTTTGTGTGTTCAGATAGCAGAAGTTTCTTCTCAAACGCTCTCTTCATCACTTCTCACATCACAGTTCCTATTTTTTTTTTTTTGACCAACCACATGAAAGTGGGTTTTTGGGTATCAAAAAAAAAAGATCTTCTCTGCTCTATAACACGGAAGACAGACTCAACTCGGTAAGACGCTCAGTAACTTTGCATTTATATGTATTTTATATAATTTTTTTTAGAATATATTCAGAGGATGCAGGATTATGTTATAATGATAAGACTGAACATTAAAGCCAGATCTGTTTAGGAAATGAAAATGCTTGGTGATTCAAAGGAAGAACGTTGTAAGATTCCTAAACGAAATGCATGAATGTACTTTAATGAGGGTTTCATGCAACTTATAATCAATTCATATTGTGTTTTATTTGCTTTTGCCCAACATTTGATTTCTTGGATTACAATATTTATGAAATATCCAACAAAAAGCAGAATCAAATGTACTTTCTATTTTGTGAAATCTCTTTGGCACTGTAAACAAAATCAGTTGCGAATTAATTTAAGTTGAATCAAATTGGCTGTACAAGTCATTGCAACTTAAATTATATTTTTATTAAACTGAAATTGTATTAGTTAAAGTAATGGAAAAATGTATGTCGACCTATTTCTTGGATTACAATGAATTACAATACAAAGAAATATACAACAGAAAGCATATGCAAATGCAGTTTTTTCTTGTAAAAATCTCTGAATACATTGTAAAAATCAATTACAACTTTTTAAACATGTTTAACTTTTAAACTTTTTTTAATTTTTAAGTTGAATCAAATAGGCTTTTTTTATACTGAAATGTAATTTTATGAGTTAAAGTAATAGAAAAACATATGCTGACCTATTAATTCTATAACTTTTACAGTACATTTTAACGAGGATTTAATGCATATTTACAAACAGACATGAAACTTAAATTCATTTCACGCATTTTCTCCACATTTGATTACAATATTTATGAAATATACAACAGAAAGCACATGCAAATGCAGTTTTTTCTTGTATAAAATCTCGGAATACATTGTAAAAATCAATTACAACTTTTTAAACATGTTTAACTTTTAAACTTTTAAAATTTTTTAAATGTGCAACTTTTTTCAAAATTTTAAGTTGAATCAAATAGGCTGTACAAGTCACTGCAAACTAAATTAAACTGACTTTTTTATACTGAAATGTAATTTTATGAGTTAAAGTAATAGAAAAACATATGCTGACCTATTAATTCTATAACTTTTACAGTACATTTTAACGAGGATTTAATGCATATTTACAAACAGACATGAAACTTAAATTCATTTCACGCATTTTCTCCACATTTGATTACAATATTTATGAAATATACAACAGAAAGCAGATGCAAATGCATTTTTGTTCTGGTAAAAATCTCTTTGAATGCATTGTTAAAAAATGCAACTTTTAAACTTTTTTCACATTTTTAAGTTGAATCAAATTGGCTGTGCAAGTCAAATTATATTAAACTGAAAATCTAGTGTCTTGAATCTTGTGACTTAAAAAATGAGGTTGATATTGGTTATTTTGACAAGTTAAAGCAATGGATAATGTTGCCATCAGTAGACTGTTGAAATATTTGTGCGTGGGAATGAATTCTGATCGCTGTGTTTTATGGCTCGTATGTGTGTTTATTGTCAGAATATGACCAGGGCAGATATTGAGATGGACATTCAGAGACACGAGGACTCTGCGGGAGGAAGACACGGTGATGATGAAGGGCCGCTCATCAAGTACTACCGGGCCAGTGAGGTTCTGCCGGGCCCCGTGCCGGCGCTGCAGCGGCTCCTCAGGAAGGGACCGGCCACCTGCGCCGTGAGACTCACTGACGTTATATGAGCGCTCCACTGAGAGCCAGTGAACGTTTGGCCAAGCAGTGGTTGCTAGGGCATTGCTAGGTGCTTTTGTTTCATTAAAAGTGTTTGATTTTAGGTGCACAAAGTGAGTGTGGGAATGAATTCTGATCGGTTTCTCGTGTGTTTTATGGCTCGTATGTGTGTTTATTGTCAGAATATGGCCAGGGCAGATATTGAGATGGACATTCAGAGACACGAGGACTCTGCGAACAGGCTGAAGGCTGACGTTAGATTTAGCGTTACAGTCAGAAATATTTGGTGAGAAATAAAAGAAAGTACCCAGTTTGTTGCCTTAAAAAGCTTAATTTAACTGATAAAAGTTAGTTTTGTTGGGATAAATTAATGCATTTAGGTTGATTCAGCATTATTAATATTTTTGACTTGAGGGAAACCAGTTAACTTAGATGTTACCATTTTTAGGGCACAATGTGCTGTATGTTTCTTAGCTGTATTTTGAATTCTGCTGTGCATTGTGTTGTGGTTTAGAGTTAATGGAAATGTCCATAAAATTACCAGTACTATTTTTTCATCTTGGTTTACATGAATTATTACTATATAATAAAAAAATGCATTAATAATAAAATAGAATTATTTTTATTGCATTACAGTAAAAATTTTCAGGGAAAATATGCTTAAAAAAAGAACATACATTGTATAAATTTGTAAAAATTATAATAAATAAAATTAAATTTAAAATACATATATTTTGCATAAAGAAAATTTGCTTGATTAAGGAATTTGATTAAGATTCCTTGCATTATTTTCATAATTAAGCATATAAAAATTACTGTAATTCAATGGGTTTTTTTATTTGAAAAAAAAAAGCATAAATGAAATACAGTACAAAAACGTCTCGCAGGATATATAAACAAACCTAAAAACATACTTTAAACCTATAAATAAACTTTTATAATGTATTCATAAAATGTAAATAAAGTATCTTTATTGCATTACGGTGAGGATTTGTGTCGAAACGTTCTTTAAAATGTCACAATGCAAAAAAACATAATCCTAAAAGTAAGCTTAATGCAAAATATAATTTCCTTTTTCTTTTGTTTGATTTTGGAATATAATATGACCAAGACATGCTCTTCAGAGCATTCATCAAACCGATCATGTAGAATTTTTACTGTAAAAGTATCATTATTGTTAAAGTAAAATGTATTGTTCCAAGCTGGCAAAGAAAAATGATGTCTCAATTAAGTATTTAGTAAATGTGCTTTATGCTCACCTGTAGGCCATTCAGTCGTCCAGTGGGATCCTGAGTTTTGGGATCGGGGTCGTATTTGCCGCGTCATTCGGGATCAATCTTAATTTCCTGACTTTATTCCGAGTTCCCATCATTACTGGAATCATGGTGAGCTTCATTACTTCTGCAATAAATGCTTGACAATATATTTCTCCTCGCAGTTCATGCAGGAATATGTTCATTATAATCTATTACAATTTAGATTTTGAGACATTATAGAGACATTTCACAAACGCTACAGAAAATAATCAGTGTTGGGGGTAACGCATTACAAGTAACGCGAGTTACGTAATCAGATTACTTTTTTCAAGTAACTAGTAAAGTAACGCATTACTTCTTAATTTACAAGAAAATATCTGAGTTACTTTTTCAAATAAGTAATGCAAGTTACTTTTTTCCCCATTTATTGATTGAAAGCTCAATTAATGTTTTATTGCTGAAGAGTGTTGAACTTTCTTCTTCTGCGTTCTACTGTACAGACGTGAGTTTACATTTTCTTCAGCCTGAGGCTTTTGGTGTGAAAAGGCTTTTATATTTTCCAAAAATAGAACTTTTTATATTAAAAG